GCGACGGGCCTGGGGAAAGCTACTCTGAGACTCCTTCAGGTAGTGAAGGGTGGGGCATAAATCCAATCTCTTCTTCTTCTCCTCCTTCTTCTCCTCCTTCTCCTTCTTCTCCTCCTTCTCCTCCTTCTTCTCCTCCTTCTTCTCCTTCTCCTCCTCCTTCTCCTTATTCTCCTCCTCCTCCTTCTTCTCCTCCTCCTCCTTCTTCTCCTTCTTCTTCTCCCCCTCCTCCTCCTCCTCCTCCTCCTCCTCCTCCTTCTCCTTCTCCTCCTTCTCCTCCTCCTCCTTCTTCTCCTTCTTCTCCTCCTCCTCCTTCTTCTCCTCCTTCTTCTCCTTCTTCTCCTCCTTCTCCTTCTCCTCCTCCTCCTCCTCCTCCTTCTCCTTCTTCTCCTCCTCCTTCTTCTCCTCCTTCTCCTTCTTCTTCTCCTTCTTCTCCTTCTTCTGCTTCTGTTGTTTTCAGATTTAAAATTCACACCCCACTTAGAGTTGCCAATTCAGGATTGGTAAATTCCTAGAGATTTAGGGATGGAGTCTGGGGAGGGTGGGGCTTGATGAGTGTAGGAACGTGAAGAGTCTACTCTCCGAAGATCCCATTTTCTCCAGGGGAACCAATCACTATCCTCCGGAGATCAGTTCTAATTCGGGGAGATCTCCAGGCCCCACCCGCAGGTTGGCAACTCCAACGTCCCCCTGCATCACGAAAGCGTTATTAATTTTGTTCGGAAATTTTGGATGCAGGACTACAGATAAATCAATATCACTGCTATTTCCTCGCAGCATTAACGGCTCGGCTGAATTCCTTCTCCTTCAGTTTAAGTAACGGCAAAAAAACCCCATTCCTGGATCGGCAAGAACATTTCATTTATCCTAGCTGCCAGTCAGGAAGGCAAAAACCCAGGAGACGGTACGTGCCGTGTCACAGTAACCCGTGAAGATTCTGAGTGAGAACAGAGAAGCAGAAGAGTCGTAACACACACACACCGGAAATAAAACAGCATTTGCCAGTGTCCTGAATATAAGAGTTTCATTTTTATGGATGGGAACCAGATAAGTATGAACCCTTCAGAAGTGCTAAGGAGAAACACATTTAAGATACTTAGCATGCATTTCCCTGAACTTTCCTTTATGTCACATGGATCAAGATGGGTAGATTTTATTATTATTATTATTATATATTTTTATGCACATTACAATCAGATGCATCCCTATTCCCATACGTGTGATGTGCCCTACCCTCCGTCCCTTCCCCACAATGTTTATATGCCATTTCTGTTTCTTCAGTATAAAGCAAAAGGGGTCACAGGTATCCAATTGGAAAACACACAAAAAATCCTGTGATAAGAACATTATTAAGAAGATTTATATAAATTGTTAGACTTTATAAAATTGCAAAAAGATTTTGTCAACATCCTTATTTGTACAATATTGTAAATAACAAGTCCAATATAGTCCAACATAATAAGTACCCGGTATGAACTTATTTCAACTTTTACAGTCTTCCTCAGATGTAAGTCTATATCGTAGAGAGCATTTGCCAGCCACCAAATGAAGGCTTCTAGCCGGGTGAAATAAGGACTGGTTGCTACTACTGTAATTAATAGTGCTTAGGAGAGCATAGCCAACAAAATCCAGGAGGCTGTTTTTGAATTTATTGGCTTGCTCCATGTATAGACACTTGTTGGATCCAGAAGTAAGTTTACTAAGTATTAAATCATTACAATATGAATAACTTTTTCATGCAACTGCGTATGAATTTTCATTTACTTGGTTTATTCCAGGATATAATGAAGGCTATTACAATATTGAGCTGGATTAAGAAGCTGACCTCTCCTTACAATATAGACTTACATCTGAGGAGGACTGTAAAAGTTGAAATAAGTTCATACCGGGTACTTATTATGTTGGACTATATTGGACTTGTTATTTACAATATTGTACAAATAAGGATGTTGACAAAATCTTTTGCAATTTTATAAAGTCTAACAATTTATATAAATCTTCTTAATAATGTTCTTATCACAGGATTTTTTGTGTGTTTTCCTATTTCTGTTTCTTCGGCATAGATCCCTTATACGCGTCCTCCTTCTGTTCATCTCACTTCGTCTATTCCTCGTTTCCAGTTAATCAAAGTTAATCATTAGATCTTCTTCCTTTTTTAGTCCTTCTTAATTTCCTTTTCCTCTTCCTTTTCCAAGATGGGTAGATGTGTTAGTCTGTCTGTAGCAGCTGAAAAGAGCAAGAGTCCAGGAGCACCTGAAAGACTAACACAATCTGTGGCCGGGGAGGAGCTCTCGTGAGTCATGGCTCACTTCTTCGGATATAGTGGATGGTAATGCTTGAAAAGGGCCAATGAAGACGGCCCCTTATTATATGACTGCAATGCCTCTTCCCCACTCACCCAGAGTGCCTACCACTCTCTAAAACCCCTCTCTCTCTCTCTCTCTCTCCCAGGTTCACGGTTACAAGTTGGTCGGGACCAGTGTTCCCTCTAAGCTGAGTCAGTGTGAGCTAGCTCACAGTTTTTTTTAGCCTCCAGCGCACACATTTTTGTCTTCCCTCAGGAAGGATGGCTCCAGAGCAAGCTAATTTATGCAGTAGCCGAATCGCTCACTCACAACTTTAATGCCAGCTGCTCACAAAGTAGAATTTTTGCTCACAAGACTCCACCTCTTAGAGGGAACATTGGTCAGGACATCACATTCGCCACACTTCTTGTCTCTTTTAAAAATAGAGAGAGAGCCTTGGCCATTTCCCCTCTCAGATCTTCTCTCTCACTCCCAGAGACATCGACAGACAGGGTAGGCCACCCCCATTTAATAACAGGCCCTACGTGGCACAGAGTTATTGGGGCTACGGCTCCAACACTGTTCCATTCCCACGCTGCCACCAGTTATTCATATCCTATGGCTGAGAGGTTAAGATGCTGAGCTGCAAACTGGAAGGTCGGTAGCTTGGCAGTTCGAGACCACAGTGCTGCATGACGGAGTGAGCTCCCGTCTCTGGCCCCAGCGCCTGCCAACCTAGCAGTTCGAAAGCAAGAAGTTGCAAGTAGATAGATAGGTACCGTTTCGGCGGGAAGATAACAGCATTCCATGCACCTCGGCATCCAGTCATGCCGGCCACACGACCACTGAGAAGTCTTCGGACAGCGCTGGCTCTTTGACTTGGAGATGAGTACCACCCGCTCGAGTCAGATTCAACAATTCCCCCCCGGAGGTCGCCAACCTCCAGGTGGGGCTTGGCGATCTACCCGGATTGAAAATCGAGAAGGTGGACTGTATGGCATTATAGCTTGCTGCGGTCCTTCCTTCCACAAACCCCACCCTCCCCCAGGCTCCACCCCCAAAATCTCCAGGTATTTCCCATGCCAGAGCTGCCAACCCTGGCTTCCCCACTTGCCTCTTCTATATCCAAAGAGTAAAATAGGTACGTGATTGTTACTATAGCTTTCTGTTAGAGAAACAGCGACAGATATGAGACTAAAGATACACACACACACAAACCTTTATTGGCATTGAAAGCACAAAACATGGGAATACAGCAAAATGCTAAAACACATCAGTCACTTACACTCTGGCTATTCAAACCTCGTCTTCCAATTGCATCGTGTAAAATTTTTGCAGCGGCCTCTGTTATTTCACAATTAGAATTAAAGAGAAGAAAGTGAACAATTGAGTCATCAGAATGCCGACTCTTCTCTTACCATCTAGAGGTGGAGTAATAAAACGAGATCGGATATCCCTATAAGAGGGACAATGAAGTATGGTGTGTGTAGTGGATTCTATGTCTTTTAGAGAACAAGGACAAAGTCTGTCGACATATGGTATCTGGCGGTACCTCCCTAGAAGCACCTCTGATGGCAGAACATTAAAGCATGCAAGCAGCTATGCTCTGCGAGGATGTGTGGCTGTTAAACATAGCAGGTACTTCACAATAGAGCCCGTGTCAAAGGTCCCCAACCTACTTGGGGAGCATCTGCTGGCTGTACGTTCCTAAATTCTTGCCTTTTGATATCGAGACTAAAGATACTCCAGATACTTCTTGAAATAGCAATTCCTACTCTGAGAGCCAGTTTGGGGTCGTGTTTAGGAGCATGCACTCTAATCTGGGAGAACCGGGTTTGAGTCCCACTCCTCCACATGCAGCTGCTGGTGTGACCTTGGGTCAGTCACAAGTTCTCTCAGAGCTGTTCTCTCAAGGGCAGTTCTAGAAAGAGCTCTCTCAGCCCCACCTACCTCACAGGGTGTCTGTTGTGGGGAGGGGAGGGGTGAGGAGTTTGTAAGCCGCTCTGAGACTCCTTTGGGTAGTGAAGGGAGGGGTATAAATCCAGTCTCCTCCTCCTCCTCCTCCTCCTCCTCCTCCTCCTTTTCTTGTTCTTCTCTGGATTTTCCTAGGGTGGAATATACAGGTTTAGGTAATAATAATCGGAACATTTTCCTTGTTGTTGTTGTAAAGAGAATCAAAAATACATATTTTGAGTTTGGATTCCAACAAAAGTGGCTGTTACCTGACATATTTTCGTGCTACATTTCGGCAACTTTTTTGTTCACCGTCAACCACAGAAGACAAAACACATTATGGGCCCATACAAATATTTCCGTCAAAGTATGCGTGGCTGTTTTTTCTGCTCTCCGTGCGTGCGGTAATTATCGCTAAACACATATCAGCATTTTTCTTAAAAGCCTCTTTGCGAGGTTTGGAAAATAAAGAATCCCACACCTGACGCTCGTTCCATCATGAAAGCAAATAGACTTTAAAAAAAAAATGCTGACGAAAATCACGCGCTCCATTGCCTGGCAGCCAAACACCATCAGTTAACTGAATTAAAACCATTTCGACATCTGTTTGTTTTATCAAGTTATCACCTTTTAACCAGAGAATACAAAAGAAAAACTCTTATGGAATTAACACGTTGTTGACTAGGGCCCTTCGTTTTGTGATGCTATCTTTCGATAGAAATGTCACCACAGTGTTTCCAATGGCTGCAGCAGGGCGTCCCCAACATGGCGCCCGTGGGCACCATTGTGCACACTGATACCTTTTCCGGTGCCTGCCAGGTAGGGTTTTTGCCCAGCAGGGCTTGCGATTGACTACGGAAGATTTGATTGGCTGTGTAGATTTTTTTTAAAGCCAGATTGGTGTAGTGGTCAGGAGCAGCAGACTCTAATCTGGGAGAACCTGGTTTCATTCCCCACTCCTTCACATGCAGCTGCTGGGGTGACCTTGGGTCAGTCACAAGTTCTTTCAGAGCTGTTCTCAAAAGAGCTCTCTCAGCCCCACCTACCTCACAGGCAGTGTTCCCTCTGAGCTGAGTTAGTGTGAGCTAGCTCACAGTTTTTTAGCCTCCAGTTCACAAATTTTTGTCTTAACTCAGGAAGGATGGCTCCAGAGCAGTGTTCCCTCTAAGCTGAGTTAGCGTGAGCTAGCTCACAGTTTTTTAGCCTCCAGCTCACAGATTTTTGTCTGAGCTCAGGAAGAAGAAGAAGAGAAGAGATTGGATTTATACCCCGCCCTTCACTACCCAAAGGTGTCTCAGAGTGGCTGACAAACTCATTTCCCTTCCCCTCCCCACAACAGACACCCTGGGAGGTAGGTGGGGCTGAGAGAGCTCTTGACAGAAACTGCTCTTTTTCAAGAACAGCTCTTATCAGAACTACGGCTTGCCCAAGGATATCCAGCAGGTGCAAGTGGAGGAGTGGGGAATCAAACCCGGTTCTCCCGGATTAGAGTCCGCGTACTTAACCGCTACACCAAACCGGAAGGATGGCTTCAGATCAAACTAATTTATGCAGTAGCCAAACCGCTTGCTCACAACTTTCATGCCAAAGTAGACCTTTTGCTCACAAGACTCCACAACTTAAAGGGAGCATTGGTCCAGAGCAAACTAATTTATACAGTAGCCAAACTGCTCACTCACAACTTTAAAGCCAGTGGGTCACAAAGTAGAATTTTTGTTCACAAGACCCCACAGCTTTCCAGCAGGGCTCTTTTTGTAGCAGGAACTCCTTTGCCTATTAGGCGAGACACACACCCCTAATGTAGCCAATCCTCCAAGAGCTGACAGTAGCCCCTGTAAGAAGAACTCTGTAAGATCTTTGAGGATTGGCTACATTAGGGGTGTGTCGCCTAATATGCAAAGGAGTTCCTGCTACAAAAAGAGCCCCGATCGGGTGTCTGTTGTGGGGAGGGGGAGGGAAAGAAGATTGTAAGCCGCTCTGAGACTCCTTCAGGTAGTGAAGGAAGGGATATAAATCCAATCTCCTCCTCCTTGCCCTCCTCCTTGTCCTCTCCTTGTCCTCCTCCTCCTCTTCATCATCCTCTTCTTCTTCTTCTTCCTTGGCCCCAGTCACACGGGCCAGATAACGTGGGGGGGAGGCATGGCTGTTTGCCCCAGAGCAAAATAAAGCGTGGTAGCCCGATCACACAGTCCCCCGAGGCTTCGCTCTTAGGCTGCTAGCTGGCGATTACACGGCGATGCTGGAGCATGGCAAAGAAGCGGCGTGCACATGCGCAGTTACGCAGAGCAGCACTGCTTTCACTTATGTGTTTCTGTGCATGTGCTTCCGAAAAAATCTGATTTGCGATGGGACGTGGACGGGTGCCGGATGCCACGGGATGCTAGCACTCCCGCGATCAGACGCCCGCCCCTGCCCTGCATTTTCCAGATACTAGTGCACTGTCCATGGTACTTTTTTACTGTGTGTCTTCAGCGGGACACCGCGGGTTGGCCACGGGTGCACTACGCTTCCCAGATGTTGCGTTGTGATCACGCACCGAAAATCCGCATGACATTCGTGCCTTTAGCACGGCAAATCCTCCGTGTGAACGGGGTCTATATTGCTTTGGCAACAGCTGCCACCACAGTGCAAGGATCCATATTTTGTGCCTGAAGTTAAGCTGCGGCAGCCATTTTGTGGCTGGCTCAGTCTCCTGCAGCAGCCATTTTGTTGCTGCGCCCACCATGCCGTGTCAGAATTCCAAGTGTACCTGGAAGTTGAAAAGGTCACGGATCCTGGGATCCAGAATGAAGAGTGTGAAGCAATGTCCTCCCATTGTTGGTCACTTTATATATGAATAGTAAACCTATGAAAATCCTTCACAGGAAACTGTGACAGTCCTCTTTAGGAATCTGCAGGCTCTTCCTAAGTTGCCATTACCAGTTAACCATAGAAGTTTGATTATAAAAATGCTCAAAGACTTCACAAGCAGCAATTCCTGTGCTTGAAAAGAAGTATCGTGACCAGACTCCAAAAAGGTAAAAGGGAGCAGCCCTGTTGGTTATCTCTGGGAACAGAATGCCCACGTACCTGGGAGCAACTACCAAAAAGGCCCTGCACTCATCAACAGAAGACTATGCCCTTGCTAATACACAAAATGGTGGGATGTGCCATGAAGTCACAGCAATCTCATGTGGCACCATAGGGTTTTCAAGGCAAGAGAAATTCAGAGATGGTTTGCCATTGCCTGCCTTGCGTAGCAACCCTGGACTTTCTTGGTGGTCTCCCATCTAAGTACCAACCTGGGCTGACCATGCTTAGTTCCTTATGGCATCCCCATAGGGTTTTCAAGGCCAGAGAGAAGCAGAGACGCTGATGAGCAGTAGGTTCAGGATGGACAAAAGGAAATACTACTTTACACAGAGAGTGATAAAAATGTGGAATTCTCTGATAGAGGATGTAGTGATGGCCACAGGAATAAACAGCTTGAAAAGAGGATTAGATAGATTCCTGGAAGATAAGTCTATTCATTGGCTACTAGCCATGGTGACTGAGGGGAACCTCCACATTCAGAGGCACTAAACCTCTGAATTCCAGAGCCAGAAGGTAGCAACAGGGGAAGGCCTCAGTCTCTATGCCCTGTTGTTGGTCCTCCAGAGGAACTGGTTGGCCACTGTGTGAGACAGGATGCTGGACTAGATGGACCACTGGTCTGATCCAGCAGGGCTCTTCTGATGCTCTTATCAGGGGAAGGTCTCGGCCTCTATGCCCTATTGTTGGCCCTGCAGAGGAACTGGTTGGCCACAGGATGAGACAGGATGATGGACTGGATGGACCACTGGTCTGATCCAGAAGAGCTCTTCTGATGCTCTTATCAGGGGAAGGTCTCAGCCTCTATGCCCTGTTGTTCGCCCTCCAGAGGAACTGGTTGGCCACAGGATGAGACAGGATGATGGACTGGATGGACCACTGGTCTGATCCAGCAGGGCTCTTCTGATGCTCTTATCAGGGGGAGGTCTCAGCCTCTATGCCCTGTTGTTGGCCCTCCAGAGGAACCGGTTGGCCACTGTGTGAGACAGAATGCTGGACTAGATGGAGGTAAGTGGGGCTGAGAGAGCTCTGACAAAACTGCCCTTGAGAGAACAGCTCTTGTCAGAACTATGGCTTGCCCAAGGGCATCCAGCAGCTGCAAGTGGAGGAGTGGAGAATCAAACCCGGCTCTCTCAGATTAGAGTCCACCGACGTAACCACTGCACCAAATTGGCTCCAAACTGGGTTATAGCGTGTGACTGGCCTAAGGTCTCCCAGCGGGTATTCAAACCTACACTACAGTGGCTGTACACCTTTTCACTTCCCTCGTTTGTACTTATCTAATTTTCACACAGGTGCCTATCCGGTACTCAGACACAGGCATCCGTTACCGCAAAACAGCAACACAGTGCTGAGCACCACCATTTTGAATGCTAAGATTTATCGTGTGGCATCGCGCAGGGGAAACTGTTACATTAGCAGACGCCGGGGAGAGATAAATGACCCATCCAGCTTCTAGAAGAATGAGGACAATCTTGCCAACTACTCCTCTGCTTTATTTTGGCTTCCTCCTGTGTCATATATTTCATTTGTTCCCATGGAGAGATTTGTTGTGCCGTCGCTCTTATGATTTTTACAACTGAGGCTCCTGGGAGGGAGTTTCTTTTTCTTTTCTTTTTCTTTCTTTCTTTCTTTCTTTTTTTTCATTTTGTTTTATTGAAGAACTGAATCACAAATAAAGATCACAATTTTAGCTAGAAATATATACATACTTCTTACGTCACAATTTCTTCTTTTGTTTTTTTTTATATAGACATACGTATATATTTTTAATTGCTGGTTTGGTGTAGTGGTTACATGTGCGGACTCTAATCTGGGAGAGCCGGATTTGATTCCCCACTCCTCCACTCGCAGCTGCTGGATGACCTTGGGCAAGCCATAGTTTTGTCAGAGCTGTTCTTGAAAAAGAGCAGTTTCTGTCAGAGTTCTCTCAGCCTCACCTACCTCACAGGGTGTCTGTTGTGGGGAGGGGAAGGGAAAGGAGTCTGTAAGCCGCTCTGAGACTCCTTTGGGTAGTGAAGGGCGGGGTATAAATCCAGACCGATTTCACACAAGAGCTGCGCCGTGGTCGTGCCTCCCTTGGCCCCGCTTCTATTGGTCAATTTCCCACTCGAAGCCGCGTGGCCACATTTTGACCTGCGGCTTCCCCGATTTTCCCCGCGGTTTTTCCTCCTCCTCCTCCTCCTCCTCCTCCTCCTCCTCTCTACAATAAAGGCTTATTTTCTTTCTTCTTTCTCTTCAGTTCTTCTGCCTTCTCAGTGTTAACCTATGCTGCATTTTAAGTATTTTCAGCAAAACGTTTCAACGTAACCACAAAATTAAAACAAAATACACGGGCTCAGACCCAATCATAGTACTTCTTACTCTATTCTCCGTTGAACCCGAGTTCAGTACGAGGAGGCCCGTGGGCCGAAAGGACTTAACCTTTCACCCTAGGACTGTTGAAGGGAGGGCACATACCCGCATTCGCTTGTCGCTACCCGGTCGCCTTATTTCTGATATAATAAGGGCAGTCCTCAAAGGAAAACATGAAAGCTTGTTGTTTAAAAGGATTCTTCTCGGTATTCAGAACAACAGATTCTGGTTGCCTTAAATGGAGTGGGAGGTGATCTTGCTTCCCTTTTGTTGCCTGTCTTCTCCCATAGTTAACCTGGTGATTTATTTAAAACAGCCAGCAACTGCTCCCCAAATGCTGTCAAAAGCTATTGTAAGAGGGAGTTTCTGGCCCCGATCACACACAGCATTTGCCG